AAATGTTGTTTTATTGGTGACAAAAAGTTTCGTCACTGAAGTAATTTCATTGGTGACGAAATTATTTTTCGTCACGATACTTTTTAGTGACAAACATTCAATGACGAACCCGGTGACGAAAATATTTCCTCACAAATATCTATAGCGACGAAATTAACTCTTTGGAGACAAAAAAAATTCGTCATTCAAGACCCAACTTGTTGTAGTGAAGATTGGTGAAATAAACACTCCAAGACTATCCTCAAGGACACAATATGCAACAAATTATTTGAGCAAAAGAAAAAGAAAAAGAAAAACAGAGACATGGACATTACAATTATGGATAGGAGTTGTGGATAGTAAGACAGTGGAAGTGAAAGTCTTTGAGGAAAGGGGAAAAACGTAGGGTAGGAGAGAAAGGTGGAAGGGTGGGAGTTTTTATTGTTATGAAAGTCTTTGAGAGGGAAGGAAAAGAGTTATTAGTCCTATTTGGTAGGGCTTATTTCCAGTTTATTCCAGTTTTTAGCTTAATTTAAGCTATTTTGATGTGTTTGGTTCAGCTTAACAATATAGATTATAGTTTTTTATAAGTTAAAAATCAACTTATTCTTTGAGTGAGGAAGAAGAAGCTTAATTTGTAAGTTAAAAATCAACTTATGTTCACAGTTATAAGTTATAAGCTATTAAATTATAAGTTATAATCATTTTCCGACAATTTTACCAAACGAGGCCAAAGTTGTTGGGCTTGTGTTGATATTGCGTCGATTTAAATTATTTATATCGTCAGATTTGATTATTTACAAAAAAATAAATAAATAATAAAAAAAACTAAAATTAATAAGAATATATAAAATGTAAAGTGAATAAAAAATAATTTTTAATTTTTTATATGAATTTATTTTTTTTAATTTTTAAAATAATTTTTTAATCTTTAACTAAAATCCTTAATTGCCAAAAAACCCCTTAATTTGAGTCTCACCTTATTTTCACTCTTTTCTCTGTGGTTGGAAGCTCACTTGGTTATTTTCTTCTACAGGCTTCCTCCCTTCCCTCTCTCTCTCTCTCTGTTTAGAGTTAATTTGCTTCTAGGTACTTCTCGTTTTCCATAATTTATCTCTTGTAATTTTCTTAAACACTGTATTTGAATTATGAAATTTAGATAGAGATTTGAAAATAAAAAGAGAAATAAAGAAAAATTTAATTTATATTTTATTCATATTTATCTCATTTTATTTTTTTTTTAATTTCTACTTAAATTTATGATCCAAACACAACTTCAATATATGTTTGTATAATGTTTGGTTCAGTTTAGGAAATTAATATGTAAGGATAAGAATAATTTCCCATATTGGTTTGAATTTTAAAATTTTGAAATCATAAATAATTAGAACTTTTTCATTTTTGTAGTTTAATTAACTAATTAATAAATTTTCTGTTTACATTTTAAATTATAAAAATAAAAATAAAAATTAGAATTAGTTTGAAAACTTAAAACTCACGTTCATTCTCATTAAAAATCTTTTTTTCTTAATATATATAATTAGTATAGATGTCATGGTCAGTCGTTCAATGACAACAGGGACAGGAGAAAGATAGTGATGAGAAAAATGCTTAAAAAAGTCCCACCCACCTAAGGGCAAGAGAACACAGCTGTGCTTTAAAGTTGTTGTGCCTGCCACGTGGGGTTGAGAGAAATACTAAAAAAAAAAAAAAGTCCCACCCACCCGCCTAAGGACAATTGTGCTTTAAACTTTAAGGCCATGTTTGTTTGGGCGGACTGGATTAGCATTCCCAAGACTCATAGTCTTAGGACTACGAATCCGTTGGATTATATATCCTATCTTAACTAATAGTCAAGTTTAAAATAATTAATCCGTACTTCAATTGTTTAACCAAACATCGGATTAATAATTTTATTGGACTATTAATCCAATCCCAAGCTCATGTCCACCCAAACAAACATGACCTAAGGGTGCATATGGGTGAACGGACTGGATAAGGGAGATTGTAATAACTATTAATCTTGAGATATATTATCTTAGAACTATTTGATTGGATTAAATTTGTATCTTATGTTTGTTTAGTCATAGAATTAGATGTCTGGACTATTTTTAGTTATCAAATATTTGTTTGGGATATTATGGAGTAGGATAAATGCTCAAATGACTATTTTATCCTTTTCAATTATTTATTATTTATTAAGTAATAACAATATTAAACATAACTTTAATATTTTAATTATTTTTAACTAGATTAAATAAAAATTTGTTTTATTTTATTTTTTTTAATTTTTTAATTTATTATTTTCAATTAAATTAAATTTATAATTTATATTTTTTATTATATAATTTTAAATTAACGAATGGGATAAAATTTATTTGCAAGATTGCAAATATTCTCAATTTTGAATGATCTATAACCATCCCTAGGATCCAAAGTTGAGCTAAGAACAAGCAATTCTATTACATCTTCCTTAAACCTATTGTTTAATTATTGTAACTGAAAATCAACTGTAATTGGGGGGCTACTCTATACAATTTTGAAATTATCTAAAAATAGTTTGGGGTGCGAACTCCTACATTTTTAATTTTTTTTAAAATTTCTACTTAAATTTATAATCCAAACATAACTTAAATATATGTTTGTATAATGTTTGATTCATTTTAGGAAATTAATATGTAAGGATAAGAATGATTTCCCATGTTGGTTTGAATTTTAAAATTTGAAATCATAAATAATTAGAACTTTTTATTTTTATTTTTTTAGTTTAATTAACTTATCAATAAATTTTCTGTTTACATTTTAAATTATTAAAAAAAAATTAGTTTGAAAACTTAATTCTCATATTCATTCTCATGAAAAATCTTTTTTTATTCTTAATATATAGATTTAATTGTGAGTGGTTCAATGAGAACAGGGAAAGGAAAAAGATAGTGGTGAGAAAAATGCTAAAAAAAGTCCCACCCCACAACACAGCTGTGCTTTAAAGTTGTGCCTGGCATATGTGGGGTAGGTTGAGAAAAATACTAAAAAAGGGTCCCACTTACCCACCACCCGCCTACCTAAGGACAAAAGAATACAATTGTGCTTTAAACTTTAAAGTTGTTGTGCCTGTTGATATTGTGTGGATTTAAATTATTTATATTGTAAGATTTGATTATTTATAAATAAAAAAATTAAAATTAATAAGAATATATAAAATCTAAAGTGAATAAAAAATAATTTTTAACTTTTTAATATGAATTCATATTTTTTATTTTTTAAATATTTTTTTAATCTTTTAACTAAAATCCTTAATTGCCAAACAATCCCTTAATTTGAGTCTCACCTTATTTTCACTCTTTTCTCTGTGGTTGGAAGCTCACTTGGTTATTCTCTTATATTTCATTCACATTTATCTCATTTTTTAATTTTTTTTAAAATTACTGCTTAAATTTATGATCCAAACAAAACTTAAATATATGCTTGTATAATGTTTGATTCATTTTAGAAAATTAATATACATACATATAAATGCATAAGTTTTCCTGCCATGGATTAGCTTCTCTCTCCTATTTTATTCTATTTATTATTATCATAATATATCTCAATATATAGTGAGGTGTATATATTATACATGCAGGTGTATAGTTTTATAGAGTATCGTTGCATATTTTATGGATGCTCAATTTTCCGTACTTCATAATTTCTTCTTGTTGTTGAATGTTGTGTTATATTTAGTCGGTTAGATATGTATGTCCACTCTGTAGACAGCAATTTGAAATAGAACAGATACAAAATAACAATTTTCTTGAAAACGATCATATATACAAATAAATATTTATATAATGGTTTGTAGTTAAAAACTCATGACTACTAATATGGTTATCAACTCCATCATTAAAATATGAAAGTTACGATAGTCTAAATCTCTTATGCACTTAATATATACAAATATATATTTATATAATGCTACTTTAATAAATCAACTAGATGGGTGGCAAAACAGATACGGATGTTGGGTCATAATCCGATCCATACACATGCACAAACTAAGTCCAACACAGCACAGCTCAACTCAAGCTCAAAACTAAGTTCAAGTCTAAGTCCAAATCCAAGACCAAACCCAACACATGCCCAAGCTTAAGCCCAGTCCAAACCAAGACTAAGTTAAATCTAAGTCCAACTTTTATTGATACCCACTTTATGAGACAACTCCCATTTACAATCTAATGGTTTCGGCTCATTATTTTCGTATTGTAATATTCTTACTTAAGATAATACAAATCCACTTAGACCCACCTCAACCAGCAGTTGAGTCTCACTTTAATCTCGAATTAAAATTGCCAAAAATATTATTTTCCAACATAAAATACAATTTTTTTCCATCTATTTTATTTAATGAAAATCGCTATGGTTTAGATTGAAAAAATAAATAAAAAATACAAAATTTAGTGTTTAATTGAGAAAATTAAAAATTCAAAGTTATTTTGTTACAAAAGCCAAAACCTAGTTTTTTTTCGTAATTTAACCAAATTAAAAATTACATTGAATCTCACTTTGGTTCCTTATTTTTGTAAGAATAAAATTATATGCACCAATTGGTATACCAATTAGTGAATTAACAGATGATATAACATAATTTTAAGAATTTTAAATTTTTATAATTTATATAATGGGTGGGATATATACTTCATAATTTGTTGTTGTTGAATGTTGTGTTTATAATTTTTGGTTGGTTAGATATGCGTGTCTACTTTGTGGACACCAATTTGTAGTAGCATAGATATGAAAAAACAATTTTCTTGAAAACAATCAATTTTTTTTGTTTTGGAGATACAAAACGGTAAGTTTGTATTGACAATTTCGATAAGAATTTAAAAGGAAAATAGAAAAATATGAAAAAAAATGAAAACAAAATATACAATATTGTTTTTATTTTCTATTTTTTAATTTCTTTTTAATTATTTTTTAAAATTTAAAATTTAATTATTTTTTTTAATTTTCAGATCCATTTAAAATACACTTAAAAAGTATAAAAATTATATATATATATTAAAATTCATTGAACACAAAAATAATATAAAAATTCAATATATTTTCGTATTTTTTTATATTCAATAAACTTTTTTTACAAATTTTTGTACTTTTTAAATGTATTTAGATTAAGTGGATGTAAAAAATTTATAAAAATTTAAATGTTAAAAAAAAATACTAAAAAAAAAAATGAATTAAAATTTTCAAAAACTATTTTTTAAAATTTTAAACTAAACAGATATTTTTCACAGTGAAAGGTTGATTGTATTCCAAACACAGTGTTTGAAAATAAAAGATGTGTTAAAAACTTGCACCTCTGTGTCGTTTAACAAATGAAACCTTACACCGGACGATTTCACAGGGGAGGTGATAGGTTCCATGGCCCATCAAGCTATCAAAATTCTTCATAAAAGATGTATTTATATTATCACTATTTTAGTTAATATAGTTTAATTTCATTAAAAAAATAAAAGGGATCCCATCAAATAGGAATTCACGCCTCTTAAAGGTCCACTGTAAATTCACTCTGTTTGGTTAACAGTTATTAAGTTTTTTATTTTTATTTTTCTTATTTTTTTTTGTCTTTAGTAAATTTTTTAAAATTTTAAAACATTTTTTTTAGATTCACTTAATCTAAATACATTTAAATGTAAAATATTTGTAAAAAATTCACTAAATACAAAAAATTACAAAAATTCAATACTTCTTCAATTTTTTTTTTTTGGTTTTTATTGAATTTTATTTTAAAAAAAAAATCACAAATATTTTACTTTATTTTTTAGTGCATCTAAAAATTAACTAAATATAAAAAAAAAAATTTGAAGACAACAAAACATGAAAAACAAAAAACTTGAGAGTTTTTAAAAGCTCAAAATAAAAAAGAGTGAATATTGTTTAGTTTAATTTTTTTTTTCTTATAAAATTTGTGAAAATTAAGCTTATGGAGTGATTTTATCTATAAAAATTTCTCTTGTACTATTTTTGTATACTTTGGCTTTCTTGATTTTTTTGTGTAAAAAAAATTGATTTTTTTGTAAATTTTTTATGACTTTTTTGTGTAAAAAATATTAAAA